TAGGTTTTTGACTTGGGTAACTAGCTGGATGTTAGTGTTTTTTTTATTTTTTATTTTTTTCCTTTTTCTCCCCAAAGTCCCCCAGTACATAGTCGTATATTCTTCGTTGTGGGTCCTTCTAGTTGTGGCACATGGGACGCTGCCTCAGTGTGGTTTGATGAGCAGTGCCATGTCCGCGCCCAGGATTTGAACCAACGAAACACTGGGCCGCCTGCAGCGGAGCGCATGAACTTAACCATTCAGCCCCGGGGCCAGCCCCTGGGTGTTAGTGTTTTAATAAAGCAAGATAAGAAGCATATGAATTGGAGTGGTAGGTGTGTTAGAAGATAATGAACTTGATTTTGGATCTCTTGAGTGGGAGTTACATCCAGGTGGTGCAGTTTACAGGTAGTTAATTGTTTCATGTGGAGCTCAGGAAAAATGTTGAGGTTATAGATACAGATTAGGAATCATTAGGAAGTATAGGTGACAGTTATTGAAACCATGGGATTGAGTGAAACCAGGGAGAGAAAATAGAGTAAGAGGACCTGTGGCAGAACCCCAGGGAACATTAACATTTAAGAGTAGATGCAGAAAGAGGAGCCCAGGAAAAAGAAAGAATTATCAGAGTTAAAAGCAGAACTAAAGTGGCATCTAGAAAGTTGAGGTGTAGTAGGGATGGTATCCACTGTCATAGTCTGCAAAGGGTCAAGTAAGTAGAATACTAATGAGGCTATTGAATCAGGCAGGTTGTACAACAGAGGGAGGGCATTGTTGTCATAAAAACTGGGGTTTGAATCCTAGCTGCATCTCTAATTTTACTGAGAGTTTTGGCAAGTTACATAGCTTCTCTGTTTTGGTTTCTTCTTTTGAAAACTGAGGATAGGAGTTATCTTAAAGAGTTTGTCTAAACATTAGATGAAATTAGTAAACTCATGTAAAGCGGCAGTTTAGTTCCTAGCAGATAACAGGGATTTGTTAAAGAGTAGCTATAATAACAACAGTAATGGTGATGTTATAAGTTTGTTGGTAACCAAAGCAATGGTACGTTCAGTGGTGGGTGATACTGTGGTAGCTAAGAAGGAGGACAAAAGCCAGATTGCATTAGGTTGAGGAGTGAAATGTTGGGAGAGTTTTTCTTTTTTTCAAAAAGCTTTGCCTCTGTGGAAAGGAAGGGATTATGGAGTCATTTTTGTTAATAAAAAGCCATCAACCTATTGAGAAAACAATTTTAGTGGAGAAGAGGGGCAGAAGCTGAATTTTAAAAGAGTTTAGTATGAGTAGGATGTGAAGAAGAGTGAATGTAGACTTCAGGAAATTTTGAAAGTATAAGGAAGAGATGTTAGATGCATGGTCTCTATTATTTTGATTATTTAGAGGAATCATATTGATATAAATTTAGACAATAGAGATCTGAATTTATATAAATTCAAAAATAGAAACTCTCCTGAAGACACATCCCTGTGCCCCACCTAATTGCATCTCATAATTGCATTTATAAAGAGCCAAATTCATCCTAAATTTAAGAGTTTTCACATCTGCATATGTGAATCATTCATGGGGTTAAAGATTTTTTTTCCTTCTTATTACTAAAATCATATTTATTGAAATTTTTTTTTATGAGGCTTAGAACTAGACACAATAGTTCATAAAGCCTTGACCAGTGCTAGGGAAAAATAAGAGGATTGTCTTTGTAGTTCTTCCGATGCTCTTTAAAGAAATTTGAAACCCAGAGTGAAAAAAAAGACTTTTTAAGTTCATGTAAGAAACTGGTGGTATCAGCTAGGATGAAAATCCAGGCCTCCTAACTACTGTATCGTGTTCTTCCTACTACAGCTTAATACCAAAACAAAGACAAAACCTACCAGTAAAGAATCAGTATTTAAAAATCTGATAAATTAAGAGATAATTATTTGTATTATAGAACAGTCGCTTAAAGAATTATTCAATAGCAATCTAGAGTTATAGATTTAAGTTTTTACATAAATTGTGAATTTACACATTTAAACAAGTTCACAAATAACTTTAGGAAGGCATTTGATTTGTTAGTATCTATATTTTATTTTAATAATCGCTTTAGAAATTCTAGATTGCTTGGCTTTTGATTTATTATATTCTCTAGAACCTTTAAATGTATACTACTTCTAATAGTTATAGCTAGTTAAGTACTTTTCCTGTGCTTTAGCTGAGCTCTTTGCATTGGTTATCTCATTTAATCTTTCTAACAACCATAAGAGGTTAAGTATTCTCATTATGAGGAAGCTGAACTGAGAGGTGTCATCAACATGGAAAAGGCTGCATGCACATCTAGTAAACAGAGTGGAACTAAAATTTAAATCAAGACAGTTTGATCCCAGTCTATGCTTTTAACAGCTATCCTGTTTTAATCATTATTTTAAACTTTGTTTTCTTCCTTTTGCTTATTGTAATATAGTAGTTTTTAATCTCATTTTGATTCTATTTGCTTCATTTCAAATTTAAAAATATAGATATGTCCTTATATTTGGTGAGCATGATTTTTATTGACTCATTGGTTGATCATTGATGAGGATGTTAAGACATCCTCCAATCAAGAATTGACCTTATGGAACACTCCTTATGATACTTTCCCAGATTGATGTGGAATGCTTGGTAAATCTTTTTTGGGAGATGGCCTTTTACAATTAAATGCAGGAAATATTGAATATAACCAATATGACTACTTTGTTGAGACCTAGAAACTTTTTAGAGTAATTTTAATACAAAGCATTTGTGAATGTCAAGTAGCTAAAAGTAGATAGATCTTAGATATTTTAAATTGAGCCTACCAGAATATTTCATAACACTTTACCAAATGTAGAGTGGTATTGTATTGCTAACTATTTTCAGCTATTGATATTGTAACTCTTTGTTTCCTGCTTTTCCTTTGAAGACGATGAAACTGTTTTCTTCCTTTCCTGACTCTTCTATATCATTTTTCTCCTTTCTCTACCTAAATTTGGATTTAGAAATTATTAAGCCAAGTGTCTTTTCTGGAATGCTAGACATAATGTTCTTTGTTAACTAGTTCGTTATAGACCTCCCCTTTCATGTTAAGAGTGCTTTAATTTTCACAAGGTAAGTGCACGTTCAGAGGAAGTCTGTTCAAGAAGTAAAAGGATAATAGCTACTCTTAATATAGTCTAATAAATGTTGAACTTTTATTTATTGGGAGGAAAAATGTCATTTTTTGAGTTGCGTTTTACCAGAAAATTGGCTAAAAAGTGATTTACAATATTTGATGCCTTATACTTAAAAAAATAATTTAAATGACCAAATCTTAACATGATTTCATTGCCCTCAGTACCTTTTGCAGCATTTAATGGCTTTTCTAATGTATAACCACTTTTTAAAATGTTCCTTGTGAGAAAAAAATAATTAAGTGGCTAGCTAATTTGCAGGAGATATTCGGTTGCAATTAGTCCAGGTAAAATCTGAAATTTTGTATATAAACTGCATGGAAAATAGCCAAATATAAAGACAATTCCATTTATATAATGGTGACATGCTTGTAATTTATTATTGCAGTGGCTGGGTTAGGATTAAATTAAGAACCAATGGAAAATTAGTTGGTCTCAGTAATTATAGTTAAATGGTCATTTGAAAATAGTGTGAAAACAGTCATCTGAAATTTATCTATTCAAACTGAGCTGTCAGTTTACAGACATTATCTTATTTAATTCTCATAACAATTCTATGAGTTAAGAATATTATCCTAATTTTACAGATAAAGAAACAGAGGCTTAACGAAGTTAACCCATTTGAGGTCCTGTAGCTACAGCTCGGATTCTAACCAAACCTTTCTGACCACACAGAGCCTAGGTTCTTAACTAGTAGATTGTAGTAAACTGAAATCTGATGCTAGAGTTTGTACTTTTGATTGCAGTGAACTTTCCATGTCAAATAGAGGCCAAATCTAAGTATTTTGCTTCTGGAAGTATGCATTTTTACCAATTATGACAATTAAAATTTAACTTCTTTAGTTTCAGCCTACAGTTTCAGAATTTGTTATAATTTGATGTGATATGTAGAATTAAAAAGCTATAAGGGCTTTTTTACTTGCGATCTTACCATGAACATTCAAGTAAGATATTGGTGGGAATGGGGAATGATAAATTGAATTTTATGTCATCGAGTAGGGGATCATGAAACTTTCTGTAAAGGGCCAGATACTAAATATAGTAAACGGCTTTGAGAGCCATATGGTCTCTGTTGCAACTACTCAACTCTTCTAAAGCAGCCGTAGACAATCTGTAAACAAAAGAGCATTCCTGTGTTTCAGTAAAACTAGAAAGAGAGGCAGCAGCCTGGATCTGGCACATTTGCCAACCCCTGTTACAGAAAATCTTTAATTTCTGCTACTAAAAGATAAGATTTATTTATGATGATACATTGTTTATGCAGCGTTGAAGTCTTTTTAATTGAATGTACTGGCAAAAAAAGTTTACCCAAAAGATAGTAATAGTGTAAGGGAGAATGGGAGTGGTTTCTAATTGTAAAGAACACTTTCTCAGCATTTCTGTGACTATACTTAGATTAATTACCTCATAAATTTTTTGATAATTCCAGAATATATTTATTCACTTGTTTCTTAGAATTATCCTTTTTTGTCTTGAAAAAATATATCTGCAGTTTTCACTAATTCTGATAAAGTTTCTTTCCTTTATCATAAATTAGGAGAGATTACTGTAAAAAGACATGACACAATTGGGTGATGATTTTATGTTATTTGAATTTATTTTGAAAAGTGCTGTCAGTCGGTAGAGGTAGATGAAGGCTGTTTGTGTAAATATATGCAGTTGGGTTGTAGGTTCGGAGATGGAGTACTGTGTTACAGTCAGTTTTCAATGTGGCATTTTATAGATTTCTTAGTATAAGCAGTTTTGACCCTACAGATGTCTTCTGGTGCCACAAAACTTTATTAAATGTAAGTGATTTGTTGTATTGGCAATGTGGTTTATTGGATATTGAATCTAATATATACTTTTTATTCTTATTCTCAGAGATTCGTCAGCGCACTGCAGCTCAAAGAAACCTTTCTCCAACGCCAGCAAGCTCTAGCCAGGGCCCTCCTCCACAGGTTTCAGTATCTCCTGGACCACCAAAGGACACTTCAGCCCCTGGTGGACCCCCAGAAAGAACTGTTACTCCAGCCCTGTCGTCAAATGTGTTACCAAGACGTCTCGGATCCCCTGCTACTTCAGTGCCTGGAATGGGTAAACAGAGCACTTAATGTTATTTACAGTTTATATTGTTTTCTCTGGTTACCAATAAAACGGGCCATTTTCAGACAGTATGGAAATGGCATTTCATTTGGAAATAGCAGAGCAGTTATCTGATTAAGCAGGAGTTCCATATTCAATTAGCCATAACTCTTTACAGCTGGCACCTTGTGATACTGAAACCTATTTCTTGAGCTCATTTAACTGTTATGGCTTCTTTGTTTAAATGGCAATAAAACTTTGTGGTATTCTGTAGTAACAGTATAGCATATCTTTTTATATTCAGCTTTAGAATGGCTCCAGATTTATATAAAATGAGGATAGAAGAGAACACTTTTGGAATATATTCATGCTTTTTGCTAAACTCTTCCCATATATTTTTAAACCTGACGATTACTTAACCTATTTCAGGAAGAATATTCCTGCATTGTGATGTATACTACTACTATTGTTAATATGGGCTGGTAGATTTTTCTTTTTTTAAGCTGTGGAACCTTAGTATTTTCTGGCAGATACTTTAACATAAAGTTCTATTAAATTAACATACTGCCTTTACTGCTGTTTCACTCCTTTGGATTCTCTTTTTTCTGTGTGGCAGCTGTCTAGGGAAAGATCCCGCTTTTAAAGTGTAATGGATTCTGTAACCCTGCAGCTTTCTTTTGGAGTATCTCTGGGCTGTGGGAGTCTGTTGCTTCAGCAGATCACATTATTTTATGTAGATTTCCATGTCAGGTCCTTGAATATGATAGTCAACTATTTATCTTATTTTCAGATATTTAATTCTAGTTTAGATTACTTTGGTATTTCATGACTAATTACTAACATAATTTATAATGATTTTGAGGCCAGTCAGTATTTGATATCAGGTATTCAGCGCACTTATGTAATAGAACCAATAGGTAATATAAATGTTACTATTACAGATTTTTTTTCCCTGCTTTTCCTTCAAAAAAAGCTACATAAGATATTAGAAAACTAGAAACATATTAATTTATAAACAAATTAAGGAAGCTGGCCACAAATGAAATGTAACTTTTAAAATGAAACCATAAATTTTAAAGTAGTTATTGAAAAAATACTTTAAAACTTGACTTATAATGATGTCCCTTAAGGCAGCTGTATATTATGTGAAGTTGAGAAAAATTAAATTGATTGAAAATTATTCATCTTTCAGTTATCTGTATGATATGAGATACCCATGATTTGAAAAGTTCTTAGTTGTTTAATAAAAAAACTTTTTTTGTGAAAATGCGTGAATTATATACATTTGTGTAACTAGTTTTAAAGAAATAAAAGTTTTAACAACTTAAAGTAATAAGAACTGTATTGCCCATGTAAGAATAGGTTACTGAAGGAACATGGCCTTAATTTTGTGATCGTGTGAATAGAACATATTTTACTAAAGTTTTTAATTAGTTTCTGTGTAAAAGACTTTGTATTTCAGTTGTACAGTGCCAAAAATATGAATCAGTTAAGTGATTTCTTAGAGAGAAGATTAGCAATTCATTTTTTCATTATGCCTTATTTGTGGAAGAGAATCAACTTAATGTGTATTACCACAGGGCTCCCATATGTTTGAAAATTAATAACCAGCAGGTACTTGATAATTTGCCAAGCTGTGTAAAAATGACCAGTATTCCTACAATGATTGCTCTTGATGTTTGTATTAATTGCTGTTATTCATAACAGCATGGATTCAAAGATGTGTTATTTTAAAAGTTATTAATATGCAAGGAGTTTAAGATATTTTTATGAAATATGTTGTTTTATGTATCTAGATTCCTTTATGGACATTTTCATTTTAAACATATAGAAATAAAATACTCCAGCAAAAGTTAAGTTGGCTTAAATGCTTTCAAAATCTAATTTGGCATGCTAATTCAAGTTGAAACTTTGATAATGAAGGATGACATTTAATGTCTGTATTCAAGTTTATTTTTTGATGATAATGATTGAATGTTGTTAGTACAAGTAAACCAATAACTGATGAAATCTGAAAAATGTACTTGATTTGTAATACTAAGAACTTATTCTAGAATCTAAATTTCATTTACTAATAGCCATAATTTTGACATTATTTGCCCTTTTTAGATGGTAACAGTTTTTAGGTTTGTGATTATTTACAAAGCAAATCTTTTTTTCTTATCCTTTAAAATAGTGATATGATATCGCCACCCTAAAGCCATTCTTGAATCCTTTAAAGGTTTTGTCACAGTCATTTTGAAAGCCTTGTATCCTTGTATTGCAGGGCTTGTTCCAACAAGGCCTCATTTTGTTTCGGGGTTTTCTGTGAGGTCTCCGTGTAAACCTCTGTTGCTGCTCATCTTACTTTTAAGTTCATCCTGCCTTGTTTTACAAAGGCAGGCATCACGAATCTTATTTATTTTATCCTCTCACTTTTTTCTCAGTGCTCTCTTCTGTGTTGTCTCTGTCCAGAGTATCTTCTGAAAACAGTTCTCTTTCAGTTTTCAGAGACTGAAGTTACAATTCATAAAGTTTGAATGTGTAACTCTCTATTTTTGTTATTACTGTTTTGTATGATATAAACCATTAAGTAAATTCTAGGTTATTCTTCCACTTCTCACTCTCCATTTGTCTCTTCTAATATTGCCTAATTTATTACATGAACACAGCATCTCTCTCCATTTATGTAGATCTTCTTTAGTTTCTGTCAGCAATGTTTTGTAGTCTTCACTATATAGGTTTTGCACATTTTTTTGTTAAATGTACATCTAATGATTTCCTATTTTTGATCGTATTGTAAACGGTATTGTTTTATTAACTGTTTCCAATTATTCATTGCTAATATATGTAGAAATACAATGATTTTTGTATATTGAGCTTATATCTTGCTAAACTCACTTATTAGTTCTAATAGCTTTCTTGTAGATTCCATAATATTTTCTACATCGACTGTCAACATTCTGAATAAAGACAGTTCTACTTCTTCCTTTTTAATGTGGATCTCTTTTATTTCTTTTTCTTGCTTTATCACACTAGCTAGAACCTTTAGTACAAGGTTGAATGAAGTGCTGAGAGCAGGTGTCCTTGCCTTATTGCTGATCTTAGGAGGAAAGCAGTTACTTTTTGACCATTCAGCATGATGGCAGCTGTTGGTTTTTTTGTTTTAATAGATATGCTTTATTAGGTTGAGGAAGTATCCTTCTATTCCTAGTTAGCTGAAGGTTTTTATTGTATGGAGGTGATGGATTTTGGCAAATGGTTTTTCGCCTTTATTGAGATGCTCATATGGGGTTTTAGTTTATTTTTTTGTTTTAATGTCTGTTCATATAGTGAAATACATAAACCACCTTGCTTTTCTAGGATAAATCTCACTTGGTCATGTTTTATTTTGTATATATATTGTTGGTTTTGGTTTCCTAAAATTTTGTTAAAAATGTTTACATCAATTTTCCTTAGGCATATTGATCTGTAGTATTTTTTTTTCTTGCAATGTGCTTGTCTTATTTTGGTATCAGAGTGGTACTGTCCTCGCAGTATGGGAAAGTTTTCCCTCGTCTTCAATTCTGTGGACAAGTTTACGTAGAATTGATATTATTTCTTCCTTGAATGTTTGGTAGGATTTACAGGTTAGAGCCTTTGGGTCTGGTATTTCCTTTGTGGAAAAGTTTTTTTTTTAAACTAAAATTTCAGTTTTTTAAAAGAAAGACTACAGATTAATATCCTTCATGATCATAAATGCAAAAATTGTATGTTATTTAGTATCCAAATTTGGACATTTTCCTGATGTCTTTCCGTTGCTAATTTCTAATTTAAATTGTACCATGGTCAGAAAACATACTTTGTATTATTTGAATCTTCTTAAATATACTGTGATTTGTTTTATGTCTCAGAATATCATCTGTCTTGGTAAATGTTTTATGTTCACTAGAAAAGAATATATTCCTTTTGGGTAGAGTGGCTGTAAATGTCAATTAGGTCAAATTGGTAGTAGATAAGGTTGTTCAAGTCTCCTATATCATGTCTGATTTTCTGTTTGTTTATTCTGTCAGTTATTGAGAGAAAGCTGTTGAAATCTCCAACTATAGTTGTGTCTTTGTTTCTTTTCGTAATTCTATAAGTTTTTGTTTCATGTGTTTTGAAGCTCTGTTATGATGCACATATATGTTTTGGATTATTATGTCATGAATTGTAATGTTACTGAATTGACTCCTTTGTTGTTATGAAGTTACCCTTTTTATCTCTGATGATATTCTTTGCTCTAAAATCTTCTCTGCTTGATATTAATATAGCTACTCCAGATTTCTTTTGATTAGTGTTAGTATATTTATATATTTTTGCATCATTTACTTTTAACCTATTTATGTTTAACGTGGGTTTTTTGTAAGTAGTATGTATTGGGTCTTGCTTTTTTATCCATTCTGACAATCTTTACCTCATAATGAGGATGTTTTTTTATCCATTCTGACAATCTTTACCTCATAATGAGGATGTTCAGGCCACGTACATTTAATGTAATGATTGGTATGTTTGGATTTGAGTTTAAGTTTTTCTATTGTGCTATTTTTTTTCTATTTGTTTCATCTATTCTGTTACCTTTCTCCTCATTTTCTGTCTTCTTTTGGATTGAGTATCTTTTATGATTCCATTTTATCTTTTTTTGTTGCCTTGTTAGCTATATTGCTTTTTTTTGTGTTATTTTAGTGGGGTGCTTTGGGGTTTATAGTATATATCTTTAGTTTATCACAGTTCACCTTCAAGTAGTATGATACCAATTCACATATAGTTAAAGAACGTAACAATAGTATACTTTCTCCTCTCCTGGCCTTTGTGCTGTTGTGGTCAGAACACTTTGCTTCTACATGTTATGAACCTCCAAACGAATTATTATTTTTCCTTTAAGCCATCAATTATCTTTTAAAGACATTTAAATAATGAAATTTTTGTGTATTTACCCACATGGTGACCATTTCAGGTACTCCTCTTTCCTTTGTGTAGACTAAGCTTCTGTCTGGCTTCATTTTCCTTCTGCCTGAAGGACTTCTTTTAACATTTCTTTTTAACCACTAGCGCAGTTCTGCTAGTGATGAATTCTTTCAGTTTTGTATTTCTGAAAAAGTCTTCATTTGCCTTCATTTTTACAAGGTGTTTTGACTAATACAGAATTCTAATTTAATGGTTTTTCCTTCCAGACTTTAAAGATGCTGTTTCACTGTCTTCTGGCTTTCTTATTTTCTGATGAGAAATCTACTGTCATTCTTATCTCTGTTTCTGTGTGCATATATATCTTTTTCTGACTGCTTTTAAGATTTTCTCTTTATCACTGATTTTAAGCAATTTGATTATGGTGTGCCTTGGTGCAGAATTATGTTTCTTGTGCTTAGGGTCTGTTTATATTCTTGGATCCGTGGGTTTATAGCTTTCATCAAATTTGGAAAATTTTTGTGCATTATTTCTTTAAATATTTTTTCTTTTCCTTCTCTCTCTTCTTTTGGACTCCAGTTATATGTATATTTGGCTGCTTGAGGTGGTTCTACAGCTTGCTGATGATTTGTTCATTTAAAAAAATTTGTAGTCTTTTTTCTATGTTTCATTTTGTATGGTATCTATTGCTTTGTCTTCAAGTTTATTAATATTTTTTTCTGTAATGTCCCAAACTACTATTCATCCCTTCTGTGGATTTTTCTATCCTAGACATTGTAGTTTTCATCTGTAGAAGTTCAATTTGTGTCTTTTAAATTTTTTCCATGTCTCTACTTAACGTACTGAATCTCTCCTCTAGATTCTCAAGCATATGAAATATGGTCATAATAAGTGTTTTAATATATTTACTAATTCTATCATCTCCATCATTTCTGGATCACTTTGATTTTTCTCACTACAGGTTGTATTTTCTTGCTTTTTTTTCGTGTCTAGTAATTTTGATTTGAAGCCAGACATTGTGAATTTTACCTTACTGGATGCTGGATGTCTTTAAATCCCTATACAAAACTCCTCTGAATACTTACCCAGTGACCTGTGTGAAGTTTTCCACCCTGACTGGTGGCAACATGCAATACTTTTGGCCCCATATGAGCACCGTTGCCTTTAATATTCGGGGGTAGTTCTTTCTCTGTCCTCAGACGCATGCACCAATCAGTACTCTGCTGAATAGTCTCGGGGATCCTCTGCAGATCTTTGGTGTTCTTGCTCTCATCCCTGGTACTCTTTCTTATGAACTCAAGCTGCTTTGGCTTCCCCAGAGTTCCAGCTTTATCTCCTCAACTCAGAGAGACTGATGCACTTCACCTGGGTTTACCCTCACTGAGCTGCTGGCTGGAAACTCTCTCTAGGCAACAAGCTGGGGCAATTGTAGGGCTCATCTTACTTGCTTTTTGTCTCTCAGGGGTCTTTATCCTGCATTGCCTGATATGCAGTGTCTTTAAAACTGTAGTATCATATATTTTGCACAGTATTTTAGTTGTTTTACGTTGGAAGGTAAATCTGACGCTTATTACTCTATTATGGCCCAAAGTGGAAGTCTCCTAATTTATTATTACATAAGCTGTTAAGAGTTTGGGCATTTTTAAAATTAGTTTGTGCAGAACCCAGCATAGTTTCATTTCTTAATAGATTATGTTGGTGGTTCTGATATAATAGCACATACTTAAACATATTTTTTGTAGTGTAGTATTTTTCATGAAAATTTGGATGGTCTATAGAGATTTATAAGGATATTATTTTTGTTTTGTTAAAATATTTTAAAAGTTCTGATAAGCAAATATAGTTCTTGGTAACTGAATTAAAATTTAAACGTATTTTGTACATATAAGTTTTGTATGTATTTATTTATTTGCTAGGTCTTCATCCTCCAGGCCCACCTTTAGCAAGACCCATTCTCCCCCGAGAACGAGGTGCTTTGGATAGAATTGTTGAATATTTAGTTGGTGATGGTCCGCAGAACAGGTAATGTTTACTAGGGTGGTAGATAAATGAAAACGAAGAAAGAGTTTGTTGGTCAGAGAGTGTGTGTGTGTGTGTATGTGTGCAGATGCACTAAATTTTCTATAGTTTTGTGGCTGTTGTTTCCTAATTTTAGAACATTATATTTTATAGCCTTGTAAAAGAGTATGTATTCGATTGTTTCTCAGTAGGTGTTCAGATAAAGTATCTAGATAAAACAAAGAAAATACATACATATATGTGTATATATATAAATAAAAGACAGAAAAAATGTTGTAACCTTACTATATTATAACCTACTATAACATTATTTTTAGAGAAATTGAATAATTTCATTGAAACTTTTAAACTTGAAGAAAACACAAATAGTGAAAACTTGGTAGGTTATAAGAAGATGTCAGTACTGGACTTGATGATGGTGATAATTTTAATAACATGAAGATAATTTACATGTATTTGCACTTACAGTTCTCAAAATGCCTTTCCAATATTATCCTATTTGATCTTTACAGTAACTCTAGGAAGATAGATATGATATGAGCAGATAATTCTCATAGTATAGACTTTTAAAAAATTCTTAGGGTAGTAGAGTAGATATTTGATAAGGTTATTGGTTAATATTATCATTTTAATAATGGGACTAGAATTTAATATAATAAATGGTATGCTGTTCAAACAGATAGAATGTTGTTTGATGGGACCAAGTAATTTGTTAAATACGTACACAGAGAACAGAGAGAGTATATAAACAGAAAATGAGGAAGATGTCTAAATGTAACTGGGATAGATACAGGAATCATGATGTACAGAAAGTAACTTTTGGATTGTACTAAAAACATTAAATTCATTTCTTTAGTGCAAGACTTCTCCGAGGTTTTAATAATATTCATTGTGAATCCCTAAGGGGTTCCACCTTTTCCAGTCCTCTCTGACCACAGATTTGGAGTCTATCATCCCCAGGAATATATGTTAGGAAATTCTGAAATTTAAGTATTCTGTTATCAAATGTGTTTCTGCTAACTTAGTAAGTATATATTCATTTGACTGTTACTTATTTATTTTTAATTTGACATATAAATTATATTTTAAAATGGTTGAATTTGTGGCTGTGGTTATGTTTAAAGAGTATTGTTTACTATGACATATTTAGCTATGTTAAGATATAAATTAGCCGTAATGGCTGAAAGCAGCCTTTCCTCTGGGCTTCGTCTGCATTTGTAACTGGCCTGTTCGTGTTTCCTTTTGGTGCAGGTATGCCCTCATATGTCAGCAGTGTTTTTCTCATAATGGCATGGCCTTGAAAGAAGAATTTGAATACATTGGTAAGAATTATGGGGCAGTTAGATTTAAATATTTTACCCTTAAATATTTTTTCTATGCCAATCATTTTATTTTAGCGACTGTCTCTGTACATATTGTTCAGGCATATTGTCCTTATTTAGAACACAGAGCAAAGCAGAAAAGATAGCTAAGGTTTTTCCCTCATACAATGTACAACCTCTAGGCTAGTTATTCTCAGACTTCACTGTGCATCAGAATCACCAGAAGAGCTTTTAAAAATTATGATGCCCAAGACCCACCTGCAAAGGGTCTCCTTTAATCGATCTGGGATAGGGTCTAAGCATCAGCATTGTTTTTAAACCTCCTCAAATGGTTCTCAAATGCAGCCACTATTAAAAAATATTATACTTAATTAATTATGCTTCTCAAATATGGCATACTACATTTTCTTGGGCAAATGAGCAAGGTTCTGGATTTTAAAATACCTAATGATTCTTTTGACTAGAAATGTAATTTCTATAATACATTTACATCACTATTGTTCTGCTATTAGTTAACTTGATATATAACTTACTATCTTTTCTGCTTTAAAATTAATATTCTAATTCTAATAGTAATTAGAAAATATACTTTAAAATTAGCTTTGGTTAGAACACCTGCTATAATGTTATTAAAACCAATTTCACAAGGGATAACTAACTTTTCAAGGGTTCTTTGACTATTTACAAAAGTGATCCTGAAAGTTATCTGATTAGTCCTTGAATTTTCTTTGGTTTCTGGTTTTATTTTTTTAATTCTCTGCAGCTTTTCGATGTGCCTACTGTTTTTTCTTGAATCCTGCAAGAAAAACCAGACCCCAGGCTCCGAGACTTCCAGAGTTTAGTTTTGAGAAGAGGCAGGCAGTGGAAGGCCCAAGTTCAGTTGGTCACTTGCCCTCAGGAAGTGTGATTTCATCAGAGAACCAGATCAGTGAAGGTATGAATATGTTAATTAAGAAATTTTGTCCCCTAATAGTGTTTGCTATTTAACAATAAAAGCATAATGCTTTTAGATAGGAATAGATTAATTTATCAGATGTAGCAGCATGCATCTATCAGCTCTTGCTATGATACTGTAGCCTCCTGTGTGATTGGTATGATGTGTTTCAGTTTTAAAATTCAGGTTCTATTGTGTTAAGCAGCATCTAGCTACAGCTAAGTAAGCATTGTTTATGGAGCGACGACTTCTAATAACTGTTGGGAGATTTGACTAGTAATGTTTTCATGGAATCATTTTTTTCAGTTTATTTAAATGAAGCAGATTATGAGAATTATGAAACAATGACTTATAAGGGTGGAATTCTTATAAGATTTGTAATGAACATTGATAAAATAAATTTGTGCCTACCACTTGACTTGGTAGAAGGTACCAGAAAGGAGGAAACTTTGGAATTGAAAAGTCATCGTTGCATTCTTGGGATGACTGTGTCAGTAGAACTGGTGTTCCTTTGAAACAAACAATTTATCAAGGTCCACAAGATTAACATTGCTGATGCATGCCTTTAATGTAAAATCACCTTATTTTAGAGAGCCAGAATTTATTCGGTTTTAGAACTCATCTTGCAATCCTGTTTTAGGAATTCTTGAGGAACTTTCATGAAAAAATAGAAAAGATGAGATGGAAGATCTGACTGTTAATTGTTAACTATTTCTTGCTGTTAGTATTAGGTGAGGAGTTACTTTTTAAGCAGGTCTGAATTATGAAGATTGCTGAAATTATGAGACAGGCCATGATATTTTGGTTCTATACTTGGTATAGAAAAAAAATCCACATTGAAAGTTTAGTTCACATAGTTTATTTAGCAGTTAGTATTCATCCTTTTAATTTCTAGGAATTATCATTTACGTATATTTGATTTCTTCTTTATAAAAGCATTGATCAGTGAAAAAATTGCTTTAACCAAGAATAATATGAGGCAAGGAATTTTCAGATATTAGAAGTTTAGGCTGAAAATTTGAGTGTCTTCTTTTTTTAAACTTTGAAGAGTGAAAATACATGTGTTGACTTGGGCTTGGCTTTTGGCTTACTAACAAATATCAAAATGAATTGGAATACAGATAGCCATGACAAGAGGCCTGTATACTTCCAGCGCTGAATCAGTGCATTCGTCTTCTCCAGGTCTGCAGCATCAACTCCAAACACAATATCAGATTTTTTCTTTTGCTTAAGTCATGCTCTGAGCTGCATGCTGTCACATGCAAATCATCTGCCTTGCCATTGCAGCCTCTTGGAACTGAAAATTAAAGAATTTCATACTGAAGATGCCTAGAGGAAAAATCGAAGCTCTTTCCAAGAGTAACCTTGCTTATGAAGGCTAAAGTGAATATTTGAAAGCCAACAGTTGGGATGAAAAAAAGAAAAAACAGCAACAAAATAAAACTCTCGATACTGAGTCCCATGCTTTATATCTTCTGCTAAGGTCTAGATGGATAGTTAGCAAACAACACCCAGCCATACCTTTCCTTCTCATCTAATCTAGGAGGAGCAATACCCCAGATGTCCCATTTTCTGTCTGAAATCTCTGGAATGAAGTCTAACTGGCTCAAACTCAACCCTAATAAGGTAACGTTAATAGGTGAAGACAAAACTTGAGGCAGGGTCTGACAACTCCATAGTGCTAGAAACTGAAGCAACAATTCCATTTGTTTAAGTTAGTGTTGAGTAGTAACTTTTTCACATTCTCTTTGGATTCATCAAAATGGCTATGAGCACGTTTTACTTTGGCTTTCCAGAAGACTGAAACTTTTCTCCAAGACTCCTATCTCAACACTGATACACAGTTATCGATTCCAAGACGAATTCCTTTAGTAAACAACTGGAAGTATTTCTCATAAAAAGATGAAGCTGGTGTAGAGACTTGAGGTCTGAAAAGAAAACTTTACTGCTTTAATTTTTATGTTTTTTAAAGTACTAAAATAGCTCCTTGATAGCAGCAGAAACTGCTGAGATTAGGTTATTGAATTTACAGATGGAACCGAAAGGTAGCTGTCTTCCATCTGAATTTTTCTTTCAATGAATATTCTATAACCATTTATATGAATAATCTAGAATTAATAGAAGAAATCTTTTTTTCAATCCATGATGCAAGACTTTGAAATTAAGTTTTGTCTTGATTCTGCTACTGGAAGATTTTGCATTTAGGCTAAGGCACAAGGCTTTTGAAATTTTTGGACCACTCTTTAGAACAACATATGAAATCTTGGGAAGTTTTCATCACAGGAGGAGACCTAGATGAAATTTCTCCCACTAATTGCTCATTTGAATTCCTAGAATTTTTCCCAGAACTGTATATCTAGATGCTTTAGTAATAGAGTATTAGAGAAACACAAGAAATTAGGACTGTGGATTGCCTTTTTATCTAAGAGCATACTAGATATGGTATGCCAAAGTAATGCACTGCTTTTAGGTTCCTCAGTTTCTTTTATGGCTAAGTGAGTAGGACAGTAATACTTGAATCTCTGCTACGCCACATTAAAGTGGTTTTTTCTTTTCTTTTTTTTAATGTTTTTTCCAAAATACCTGGTATATAGCATTCTTTTTGTTAGATATGGTAATAATTAGACTATGAGGTTGCTACATTGTTAGTATACCAGTACAGTGATTTTGGGCTAGCATGTTTAATAAATGTTAATATTGTTTTCATTGCTCAGTTGTATTTATCTAGATCTTATGTAATTATTTTAGTAGAAGATAGCTTTTATTGGACTGAGAATAACTTGCTAATGATACAACTCATGGAATCTAATCAATACTATCACAAGTAGCAAGTAAAATTTATATAAGGTGAAATTTATCTTAGTAATTTAATTTCTGCTCTTGCCTTCCTTTCTTTTAAGCAGTATACTGTTACTATTAGGTTATGTTGAACTAGGGAAAATTCTATTTTTAGTATTTTTTGTTATAATGCCCTAGGAAATTGAACTATTTGATAATGTAAATTCTGTTGAATTCTGTGTATTTACTAGAAGATCCAAAAAGATTTGTACCTTTATTTTATTCAATTATGTACAGCTTACTCACGATGTAAACTTGTCTGTAGTATGTTTTTGCATGTTTGTTTTAGACATAGAGATCTTTTGACCTTCTGATTCCCTTTTCTAAAACACCTTCACCTAATAGTTTTACATCATTGCTTAATAATGATGTTCTTACTCATCTAATGGATTTGTTCACCAATGGTGAAAAATTAAACAGTATTCTGTATGTTGAATATGAGCTATTTTCTCATAGGTAGTTATTATTTAATTGAATTTTATTCCTTGTGCCATTGGATTCAGTTTTGGGATGAAATTCATGTCTTTGTTCCTTAAATATAAGTTGGCCGTTTTCCTTAAGGCAGAAAAATCTTGTAAAAACTGCTCTGTTTAAAACCTGTGAGTTCAAAGACAAATTGTCCATTTAATTTAACAAATTTCCTTTGAGTAAGTTTTACAGTCAACACATATAGTGGGTATTGATGTGTTAGCAAGGCAAAATTTCGATGTGTTAGCAAGGCAAAATTTTTTTTATTACTGTAAAAAGAAATAAAAAGTAAGAATCTAAATGAATTCACCAAAATATGAGGGGTTTTCAAAGGCATAATCTAAATAGAATCATGTATTTTTCTGTGGAAATTATTATTTCCTTTGGAAAATATAGGAAATTGTTTGCTAGACTATTCTTTAATTTTCTTAGAAAATTATTTTTTCAAGAGCTAGACTAAAGAACTAAAGCTAAGGTGACGTTCTTACATGTTTTTGCATGTGTGTGGTTTATAGATGAGGCAGGGGTATTTGTTATACAGTTATACTCAGTTTTATGAGTTTGAGTTTCCTAGCTGAGTTGAGGCTTTGCCCAAACAACTGGAAGCCGGTTGTTACAGGTGGTAGAAAAAACTTCTCTCTCCAGAATGTTGCAGTAGGAGTGGGGTAGGGGGCAGGAGAGGGGAAAGAAACAGATTTCATGGGTCATTTTTTATTTTATCACACTGCAATATATTGTTTTCATGGTGTTACAGATGCTGAAGTTGGTTTTAAAATTTTCTTACAGATGGAATTAGGTCATTCAGGTAATTTTGTTTCAGTTTTAGTCTTGAACTGGTACTGCACAGAAGAGAGTAGGCTTGTTTAATTAGTATGATCATGAAGGCTGGTTTCTCTTTTAGTATTTGATGCCCAAATGTTGACATCTTCTGTTAGGTATTTTATACCACCAAGCTATTTTAAACTACAACTTCACAGCAAAAATTTACTGTTTTTATTAGAACAGGCAAATGGTACACCCCCACAGAAATAAAGTAAGTACTCTTGGAATACATTTAATAATCTTGTTATAAAGCTCTCTGCTTTCATTATTAAACTGATATGTAATTTTCTGTTAATCTTGCACACCTAGTTCACTTAAATCTTGTTTGGACGACTTCTTACAAAATGGCATTGGCATCCAAACACTAAATGTTAGTGTCATTTATACTAGCTGATGGCTGCATTGTAGGCATCCTAACACATACCAGCTTTTTGTAGTGTTACAGCTATTAAAATTACTTTTCTGAAAATTAACCTATGGGAAGAAAAGTAGTCATTAATAGGCTTTTTGATTGTTTTCAAGCCCTACCCAGCATTTCACCAATTTTTAGTCTTCCATATATTGTATTCTCTGAAATACAATACAGTATTGACGGGCAAGCTTTGTGTATGATGCTGTTTTCTAACTGTGACAGCACATGGTATTTCTTAGAGTTCACCTTTGTAGACATTTAAAAATTTAGGTATTGTAGTTCTCTTTAAGACCCCAGAATTTTTAAATTGGATTTGACTAGTGATGTGTCTGTTTCTGAAAACAGTTATATCACAAAGCTTTAAGATGATAAACTATGAACTTTGATACCTCTCCTGTTGAAGTTCAGTACTGAGGCAATCTGTCAGACAGAATGTGACAAACTCTTTGGGCCTGTGTTCACTTAAACGTGTTTATTGGTGAGTTTAGTCCTGGATCCTGAGTTGCTTGTTTTTTCATTTTGTTTGACTTTATTGGTTTGTTTTAGAAGGCTTAGTAAATTATAACAAATTCTAAAGTTTTTGGCAAGTAAGTATTGCTTTATGGCCAGAGAGTTGTGTGAAACCATGACCCTTAAAATTCTACCTGGGGCCAGCCCTGGTGGCCTAGTGGTTAAGTTTGATGCGCTCTGCTTCAGCGGCCCAGGTTCAGTTCCTGGGCAGGGACCTACACCACTCATCTATCAGTGGCTGTGCTGTAGTGGTGGCTCACATACAAAAAGAAGAAGGTTGGCAGTGGGTGTTAGCTCAGGATGAATCTCCCTCAGCAAAAAAATAAAATAAAATAAATTCGACCTGGATAAATTCTGTGAGAGCAGAATTACAAATCATTGGCGACTCCTGAAGTTTTCCACTGAAGGACTTGCTAGCTCTTGAAGCAGAAATGATCTGTACATGTCTGTAGAGTTTCATTTGTACTTTCTTCTTTTCCTTTGTGTGCTGGAACATTCAAATAACAAGCTTTTCTACCTTGGATTTTCATAATTCCAAGTGGTGCAGCAATACCAGTTTAAATTTCTATTAAGATAAAAATAGCATTTTTGTGACATTTGGCACAAATATGATTGTGAACATTCCTTACTACTTTTTGTGATCATGTGAAGTTTTCATACAGTAAAAGCTCGTTAACTTGGATGTCTCTAACTGTGGGATTTTGGCCTTTCATTCTATATGTAAAAAGAGGGAAAGAGATTGTAATTAATTCTGTAAACTAGAGTCTAAGATATCTGTTTAAAGAAATAATTCTTTTAAGATACTTTTAAAGTCTTCGCAAAGAGTGTGAGATATAGAAAATTTGTATGTATTAAAACTGATATGGTAAAACCATGAATTTGTAAGACTTCTACATTAATAGGTGTGCATATAGCACATAGTTTCTTTCCAAAACTATTGATTAATTTTATTTATTTGGCAAAACTCTGGCCTGTGCTATACAAGGAACTAAACTAGAACTCTTTACTAATGTAGACAGGCCTTTCCTCCAGATTTTTTGAATCAGTCACATTTGTAGTATATCATAAGGGATCTTCTGTGAAGGTAGAAAAATCTGCTTATTTGTTTAGCTGATGTGGTTTGACCATATTTTTCCTAGCAAGGATGTTGCTATTTATTACAACAACAAAACAAACACCTCAAAGCTGGATTTTTATCTTTGATTTGGAAATTGGGTGGCCCAAATCTTTCTGCTCCTGTCATTCCCTCCCTGATCCCAGTCTTTAAACTTTAATCTTTAAAGAATTAGGGGCTGGCCCTGTGGCTGGGTGGTTAAGTTCATGCGCTCCACTTTGGTGGCCTGGGGTTTGCCAGTTCGAATCCTGGGCGTGGACATGGCACTGCTCATCAGGCCATGCTGAGGCGGTGTCCCATGTGCTACAACTAGAAGGACCCACAACTAGAATATACAACTATGTACTGGGAGGCTTTGGGGAAGACAAGAAGAAAAAAAGAAGATTGGCGACAGATGTTAGGTTAGGTCCCAATCTTTAAAAAAAAAAAAAAAAAAAAAGGACTTTATTTAATAAAATTTTTATTATTATTAAATTATTATTAAGGGATTTGAATTTAATGAAATGCAAAAGAGAGTTTAAAGGGAAATTTTCAGGTAGGGACCAAGACCCTTACTTAGCTTCTGCTATGGAGACAGGTGCAGAAGACCCTTTCTGGTGTCTCTAGCTTGCTCGATGTGTAGCGTATTCTGACCCAGAGGTCTGAATCATGAGGAATTGCCTTGCAGAGGATTGAGGGGAGACCTATTATGCCTTTGGAAAAGGTGGATCCAGACCTCCCCAGTCCTTAGATAATAGGGATGTAAATCAGTGTGGGAAATAGCACCCACACACACATGTACACACAAACACGCAAAAGTACACATTTACACATTGCTCACAGAGTTGCCTGTGCACAAGGGAGACAGTTCCTTCAGAAAGCATAATCTAGTGCTGGACTGTTGTCTTATAACACCCAATTCTGTTGAGACTTTGATATATTTGGACATTCAACTTTCAAATGCATCTTTAGGAAAGTTCCTAAATATTATGAAAGTTCCTAAAATCTATGAAAATACAGGGTTTTAGATAAAAGTATGTTTATGGGTTGTTTCCCCCAAATTGTTTTTTTTATTTCCTTCATACCAACTCATATATGCTATGGGCAGTTAAGTACATATTTTTAAAGATTTTAAACCTAATGTTAGGCCATTCTACTATTTCTTAGTCCATGTGTGCATATGCTTATCTCTTGCTTACCTTATTTAGCAGTTGTCGTTTGCGTATTCCTAAAGTCTTGACTGTTTATCTTTTCAGAATCTTTAGAAGAACAAGATGTTCTTGATAACAGTACAGAGCAGACAGATGACAAAATATCAGATACAGAGCAGACAAACCAAGTGACTGAAAAAGCATCTGGCACAGAGGAACCGGAGAAGCAAGAAGAAACTGAGAATGAGGGAACCTTGGTGAAAGAGGCCAAATCAACAATTCCCAGAGCTGATTCTCTTCCTGATTCTGAACTAAGTGGAGAATCTTTGGTGACAATGTAGTAAATGCTTCCACGTGCCTTCAACTGGATATTTGTAGTCTTTTTTGATGTCAGTGTTTGCTTTTTAGGTGGTGCATTTTTCCCCCACTCTGAGGATATGCTTGATATCATTTGAATTCAGATTGCCTGGCTGTTTCAATATGTCAGTTATATTTACTAGGTATTAAAATTAAAAGCAAGTGATATTAATAAAGAAACTTTTGAATGTACAAAGACCCACACTGTTTAGAGAACTTTTAGATATTTTTTTCCATTCTAAAAGTAAACAAACATGATAGCATTCTTGTTTTCTATATGTGTGACCTGTAAATAATATCCGTTTTGACATAGGAAGAATTTTGGTTAGGAATAAGTTATAATAGTGTTTGTTTTAAGGAATGAAACTCAATTAAGATTTTTAATACTTCATCATTAAAAATGGATAGAATTTTAACTCTTGGGATATTTGCCAGGGGGAAAAATGTCTACTTAGGCATTTACATTAAGCAGTATGAAAATTGTACCTGTAACTATATAGGCATTGGTATGAATTCTTAGTAAGAATGCAATTGAACAGTCAAGTGCAGTGTTTCTTTTTGATGTCATTTTGCAGCTAGGCCAAAGGCACATGATGTATATAATTAGCTTATGTTTACATATGAACATATAGGAAATATCTCTGCACTTGACTGTACTTGAATTCTGAGCATTATTTATACTTGTAAAATAATGATGATATTATTATAAGTGAATTTTGTGTTCTTGTGTGTGTTTTGTTAAGGAAAATAAAGATGATCTGGCAGCAGTTTCTTTTTGTTAAACATCTAGACTTTTTCAGATAGTGTCTTGGTGGATGACTTGGCTACCTGAAAAATCTTGGTAGGAAGAGCTCAAGATATAATACATCTGTAGGTTCTGCTGAGAATAAAGTACAATGCTTTCATTCAGGCTTGTTACCTTTCAAATTCAGATAATAGCGACATTTAGAGGTTCTAATCAGAAATTAGGTTTTTCTGATTCAGGAAAACCTTAGGCCATTTGTAATTTTTAGTTTGGAAAGACAAATGAGTTTTGTGAGAAAAGGCAGCTACTGGTAATTCATTGGACTTAATACGTGTGTTAAGGATTAACTGGGAAAAATTTTTGACCCAGAATGGCAATTCTTGGACCTTAAATACAATCTGGTTATTTTTTTCTATCTTCCTTTTATCTCTCTTTTGCATTATTAAAAGAAAATTGAAATCACATTATTATGCCAAAAGGAGGAATATATAGGAATGGTGTATATGGAAAATACTTCTAACTTGTACACAGTTTATTAAAAATTTAATAAAATAACATTTATCATTTAAAAATTCATCTTTATGATTTAATATCTTATATTTGATAGGTATTTTTAGGGATCCCAACATGTTAATAGTCTGAGGCATCTTGGTGTATTGACCAGAGTTTTTAGATTACAGAACTGTGCTTAAATACCAGCCCTGCACTCTTGGGCAAGTCACCTGACCTCTCTGAATTTTTTTTCATCTGTAAAATGGGAAAAATAATACCTACTTTTTGGGGTATGGGAATGATTAAAAGTAATTTATGTAATGTGCCTAGCTCACTGCCTGATAGTAGATATTAAATAAATGTAGCATTTTATATTATTGATATCTTTATGAAATATGAAAGGGCCATAAATAATAATTCTTGCAGATAGGGAAATGAAAAAAATAATATGAACATATAGTTCATCTGCTCAGAGTCAAGCCAAAGTTTTCTTCATCAACTTTTCTCTATCATATACATATATATAAATACATAGTTTAAGGAAATAGGAATGTGAAACTATGGAATATAATTTTTTTTTGATGAATTCCATCAAGTTTTTGTGCATTATCGGCCTGTAAACATTTTAGTAACACCTTGCTGAGTTTTCTTGTTATAAAATATTCAAATTCTGATGTACATTGCTTGAAGATGAGGAGTACCTCAGAGAAATATAATTTAGTGACTGAATCAAGGAGATATTATGAGAAATATCTTTGAAAGAAATATGGAATAAGGTTAAAAAGGGGATTAGCAAAATTAATGCAACAGGTAACATGCTGTAATTATAGAGTACCCTTTTAAACAGAAAAGGTTATTCTGATACTGTTGTAATAAACTGTTAATGATTGAAAGAATGGTAAAATGTCCTCTTTCTGATTATTAAGGCTAGCATAAAAATGAGGAAAAGCAAGCTGCTAAGTGCTGTAGCGAGAGTGATCTTAACTGCCTGCCTTCCGGATGCTCAGCAGGTCGTCATTCAAACTTTTCTCACTATGCCCTCAGCAGGAGCTACAGACAGAGGCTGGCTTCTGTCTCGTCATCCGTCCTCCACGTTATGCTGTAGCCTCCAGGGCCTCTTTCAGTTCTCTGACCATGCTTTGCCCTTTCCTGCCGTAGGTCTCAGCTTAAATGCTCCCTCCTCAGAGAGATGCCCTTCCAAACTCCCTGTCGAAAGCTTTTACTCTCTATCATGTCACTTTATCTCTACTAAGGTCCTTACCACAATTTGTAAGTATTATATCTGTTTTCTACTTTACTGTCTATCTTTACAACCTAAAGTCTGTGTGCGCAAGGCTCTTATTTGTCTTATTTACCTGTATTTCCAGGGCCTAGCACAATGCTTGACACATATTTATTATGTGAACAGATTACTTTGTTGCTAAATCCAGTGAAAACTCAGTCCTTAACTTCCCTCCTTGGCAGTATTGACATTGTTGAGCGCTCCCTTTTGTTTGAAACACGATTTTCTTTGGGCTTTTGCGTTCTCACGTTGTTGTTTGGTGTCCTTTGCAGGCTTCTCTTCCCCTGCCCAGCCTTTAAATGTTGGTGTTGCTGTAGCTTCTACCTAGTGTCAGCATTTCTTCATGCTACATATTCCCTCTCTGCTGGCTCTTATCAACCCCCAGGGATTGAATCACCGTCTGTCTCTCTGATTCTCAACCCTCCAGCTGGATCTGTTTCCTTTACGTCAGAGCCATATAGTCACCTGCCTGCTGGAATGTCTCACAATCAATATATTAAAAACGAACACTGTTTTCTCCTTCAGAGCTTCAAAACTTTCCACCTTCTGTGTTTCTCATCTCATCAAATAGCACCACGATTCAAGCCAGAAACCAGTCTATCCACTCATCCCTTTCCCCCTTTTCCTGGATCTTAACTGTCAGTTTCTGTCTTGTAAACATCTTGCAGTTACATGCTCAGTTCTCCATTCCATTAACATTCCATTAATAATGATAAACATTTGCGTTCTTACTCTGTGTCAGGCAAGATGCTAATTGTTGTATGTGTATTATTTTATTTGTTCTCTGGCAGCAACCCTATGAGGATTTTTATCTCTGGATTGTAGAGGAGAAAAAAACCTGAGGTGTAGAGAGAATAAGCAACTTGGTAACTGGAAAATCTGGGCTTTGAATGCAGGCAAATGACTTCAGAAGTCTTGCTCTTCAAGACTGTTGTACTGCCTTCTGATTCAGGCCTCCATCATCTCAAAACTGTCTCAACTGCTTCCCCTGTCTCCAGCTTGCCCACTTGCTATCTATTCTGTGCACTGCAGCCTGAATGAGTTTTCAAAATTGGGAAATGAATCATGCCACACCGTTACTTAAACCCTTTAATGGTTCCTCACTGTTCTTGGGATGAGGTCCAAACTGACTGATATTGCCTACAAAGCCTGTGTAATTTTTTTTTTTTAGTTTAGTTTTTTATTGAAGTATAGTTGGCATACAATATTGCATTAGTTTCAGGTATATAACTGTGATTCGATATTTATATACGTTACATAATGATCACCCTGATAAGACTAGTAACCAGCTGTCATCGTACAAAGGTGTTAGAATATTGTTGACTATATTCCCTATGCTGTACGTTACATCCCCATGACTTACTTATTTTATGACTAGAAGTTTGTGCCTCTTAATCCCCTTCAACCTGTTCTGCCCTCCCCATCCTCCTCCCCCACCCTCCCCAGGGCAACCACCAATTTATTCTCTATGAGTCTGTTTCTATTTTGTTTTGTTTTTTTTAGATTCCACATATAAGTGAAATCATACAGTATTATTTCTCTGGCTTATTTCACTTAGCATAGTACCCTCTAGATCCATCCATGTTGTCACAAATGGCAGGATTTCATTCTTTTTTTTAGTGACTGGATAATATTCCATTTTGTTTGTGTGTGTCACATCTTTATCCACTCAGCTAACAATGGGCTCTTAGGTTGCTTCCATATCTTGGCTGTTGTAAATAATGCTGCAATGAACATAAGGATGCATATATCTTTTTTTTTTTTTACACACACACGTAAAACATTTATTAACTCAATGAACAGCGCAAAGCTATGAGAAAAGATATTTAATCACAGTGCACCCGTATAGCTTAGCTGTGAAAACTATCTTTATTATCTCTATAATATAAATACAAAATTATTTAAAATTAAAGTACAATTATACTGTAGGGTTTGAGGAACAGGTGTGTGTGTGTGTGTATGTGTGTGTGTGTAAGGAGGAATAAAATATGCAAAAGAAAAGCTAGATTCTTATCTCCCATAGCAGAAAGCTAATTGATAAAGACAAAATGAACAATAAAATGAAGACGTAGCAGCCTACATCCAATCCCTCAGGAAATCCTGTTATCGCTGCCCTCAAAATATATCCAGAATTTTACCACTTCTCTTGCTAAGAGCCAGCTGGAGTCCCCATCCTCTCTCACCTACATCACTGTTTTAGTGTCTTTTTGATCTAGTCACTTCCACACTTCCAGGGAATTCTAAATACAACAGAGGATTTCTTCTAAACTCAAGGTAGATCATGTCACTTCTCATTCCTCTGCTTAAAGCCCTGAGTGTCCATTTCGGATGCATATATCTTTTCAAATTAATGTTTTTGTTTTCATCAGATAAATACCTAAAAGTGCTATTACTGATTGTTTGGTAGTTATGTTTTTAATTTTTCGAGGAACCTCCTTACTGGTTTCCACTGTGGTTGCACCAATTTACGTTTCACCAACAGTGCACCAGCGTTCCCTTTCCTTCACGTCCTCGCCAACACTTGCTATTCTGACAGGTGTGAGGTGATATCTCATTGTTTTGATTTGCATTTCCCTGATGATTAGTGATGCTGAGCATCTTTTCACCTACCTGTTGGCCATCTGTATGTCTTCTTTGGAAAAATGTCTATTCAGGTCCTCTGCCCATTTTTTAATCAGATTTTTTGCTTTTGTTTTTGTTTTTTGCTGAGGAAGATTCACCCTGAACTAACATGTGTTGCCAATCTTCCTCTTTTTGTATGTGAGCCGCTGTGACAGCATGGCCACTGACAGACAAGCGTTGTAGGTCTGCACCCTAGAACTGAACCCAGGCTGCCAAAGCAGAGTGCACTGAACTTAATCACTAGGCCACCAGGGCTGGCCCTGATTTTTTGTCTTTTTTGCTACTGAGTTTTATGAGTTCTTTATACATTTTGGATATTAACCCCTTATCAGATCATTTACAGATATATTATCCCATTCAGTAGGTTGCCTTTTTGTTTTGTGGATAGTTTTCTTCTCTGTGCAAAAGCTTTTTAGTTTGATGTAGTCTCGTTTGTTTATTTTTGTTTCTGTTGCCCTTGCCTGAGGAGACATATCCAAAGAAATCTTGCTAAGACAGATGTCAGAGAGTTTACTGCCTGTTTTCATTTAGGAGCTTTATGGTTTCAGGTCTTACATTTAAGTCTTTAATCCACCTTGAGTTTATTTTTGTCTATGGTGTAAGAAAGTGGTCCAGTTTCATTCTTTTGCATGTATCTGTCCAGTTTCCCCAACACTATTTATTGAAGAGACTGTCTTTTCCCCATTGTATATTCTTGCCTCCTTTGTTGTAGGTTAAGTGATCATATAGGTGTGGGTTTATTTCTGGCCTCTCTATTCTGTTCCATTGATCTATGTGTCTTTTCACGCCAGTACCGTACATTTAGATTACTCTAACTTTGTGGTATAGTTTGAAATCAGGGAGCATGATACCTCCAGCTTTGTTCTTAAGATTGCTTTGGCTGTTCGGGTTCTTTTGTCATTCCAGCCATACAAACTTTAGGATTATTTGTTTTGGTTGTCTAGAAAGTGCCATTGGTATTTTAATAGGGATTGCATTGAATCTGTAGATTGCTTTAGGTAGTATGGACATTTTAACTATGTTTATTCTTCCAATCCATGTGCATGGAATGTCTTTCCATCTCTTTATGTCGTCGTCAATTTCTTTCAAGAAAGTCTTGTAGTTTTCATTGTATAGATCCTTCACTTCCTTGGTTAAGTTTATCCCAAGGTATTTTATTCTTTTCATTGCAATTGTGAAT